AGGCCTTATCAGCAGTTTTAATGCAAATTAAGACGTGCTTCAATGTGACAGCAGGACGGGCGAGCGACGCCGCACTTGTCACTCCAGAGATACCCCCCGTAGCCCCCCCCCCTCGATCAGGTCCACCCACTCAGCTTATCAAAGCGCTGGTGTCGCTGCAGGCCTGTGAGTTCAGCCCTTTTAACACAGACACTTTTAGAAATGAGCTTAAATCACACGTCACCCCAGAGAGTGAGGTAGGAACCAATCACAGTCCTGCTTGAATTAGAGAGATGCTATGAACCAACCAGCAACTGAATTACATTCATATATGTGTTTATATTAATATGTCATTCTGACAGACAGTGGTAACTAACCTCTGGCCTGCCTGCGGTCTAGATCTCTCTTCTGTCTCCCTCTACTGGCCAAGTATTAATTCCATTGTTTTTATGTGAACATGACGATAATTGAACATCAGTTAATTATTTATTATTATAAATCTAATGGTATTGTAGCTTTGGTTGTCGAGTGTTTCACATTTTGTTTGTCACAAACTGACTTAACGACGTAACTCAATATAATCCCATGAAACCGGACATAAATGAGTTGCTCCTGAAGTGAAGTTATTATTGTATATTCTGAGGCCACAAATAGTAGCGCAGCATAAAAACACAAAGTATAAAAACTAAACTACTATAACGGGTAAAACAACACAACAAATGCAAATAAAAGAGCACATTTCATCGCTCCGAGCATTTACAATTTTTATAGTTTCATTAACTGTGAAGTTTTTGAAGTTTGACTTCATTCCACAGGCTGTTCCAAACAGAAGGTGCAGAAAAAGACAAAACAAAAACAAACAAAGCAAATGTCTTTAGAACAAACTCAGCTCTAACTGAAGGAACCGTCTGTAAAATCAAACCTTTTTGGACACAAAGACGTTTAACTGCAGACCAGTTGCTGATCAGTGGACAGGAGCGGGCGTTTGACCTGAGAATACGTTGTACATTCATGAGTGCAGACGTTACAGGGAGAAGTTCCATAATCAAGACCGAGAGTGTACTCTCACCTTTTTGTTATGAAAAGAATGGGAAAAAAAATCCCCAAAATAAAAACCTCCTTTTTGTTATGAAAAGAATGGGAAAATAAAAAAAAAATCCAAGTTTGATCATCAGATTCTATATTCACGGCTCTAGAATCGGTTGTTTATCAGTCAGAAATCTTGTCAGGGAACAGTTACGTGTGAAGATGAACTTCAGGTCTGCAGTCAGTCTTTCCTCCTTCAGACGTTCCAACCGTTTCTTCTTCTCTTCTTCCTGTGTGGCACCGACGTCTCGTTCCTCTTCCCTCCTCTCTATCCTTCCCAATCCCAGCTTTGATGTATGTACGAGGGAGGATTTCCTGAAGACCACGGAGGCCATTACCCGGGGGCCATTAGGCCTCCAGTAGAGCATGTCAGCCAGGGCTGAGCTCGACTCTGTTTTTACATCCAGCCTCTTGTCCTGGTGTGTGAGTGGAGTGAAGGGGGGTTCCCCCGGAGGAGGTGGAGACGCAGACTTGACGTACATGCAGTATATAGTGTATATATATACAGTATATCTCCAGCTCCTCCGTCCTGTCGTGGCATTCGATACAGATGTTGTTTCTCTGCTGCTGCGTGTGAAGGATGCGGGGGTCATTAATTGGCTCTGTTGTTCTGTCGTGCAGACTGAACGTGTGGGGAGTGAGTCATCATCATGATGAAACACTCTGACATTTGAGCACCAAAGTCCCAGAAATCCTCGCGGCCGACATCAGTGCGTCTGTTTACGGTTTACAGTATCAGAGGTTGTGTTGTCTGACTCAGATAATTCTGGTGATCGCGCCATGGCGTTCAAGTCGCTAATGGCCACATTAGAGAGCTGAGCAAACAACCGGGGCTGTAGGTCGAACAAATATTAATGTAAAGGAGGAGCTGTGTGTTATTTAGACCTGATCTTTAGTTTCACGGCGAGAGGATGAAACCAAACAGGAGGATAAAGGATGACGTGAGCTGGAGTTTACTGAACGCCACACAGAGAGGAGACGACCTTCACGGCTGGAATCACTCCAACGCTCTCTTCAGCATATCATTTTAGGGGACAAGACAAGGACACGGGGAGCGTTTTTCTGTCTATGGTGGAGCATAAATATGGCCCTTCAAGAGAGTGTGTTACATAACTGAGGGGATATCATGGGATGTTTTTATAAAGAGCACTGGAGAGGGTGACTGAAGTTCACTGAGGAACCTCTTGAATGGAGATTCTTTCTGTCGTTTCCCACTAAATACAAAGTGCCGGTCGTTAAATAGACAAATAGACAAATCAAATCTGAACATGAAGAAGAGGAGAAGGTTGAACGTTGAAGACAGTAAGGAGTGGTTGGTGTAAAAAGGTTGGAGGTTTTCTCTCTCTCTTTTCTTTCATTTTTACCCCAGCCTAAATACCCACCGTCTGGAGGAGAAGAATGGAGGGCAATAAAATGCAGAGCATCGCCTGAAGGCCCGCCTCCTTCTGCAGCGGTCTTCAAATCAATAACAGATTGGCAGGTCAATCCCTTCAGCAGAAACGGCCAATGAGAGTGAGCGATCCAGAGCTACAGAGAACGGCCTTTTGTGGCCGTTGTCAACACCGTGAGAGCAGCAGAGCTTGAGATCATCGATCTGTGTGTTTTCACTGAGTGGATCCCTCAGCTGGCCGGATCGATCCGCCCTCACAAAGAGTGGATTCAGTGTCCAATGAGATTCAAGACCCTGGAGAGACAATGTCTTCCTTTATAGCACTGTTTATATTAGGTATGTGTAGACGTCCATCACAGGTTCACAGCAGCTCTTCATCATCAGCTCATCACTGGTCTGTTTCAAACATTAACACCACTGACTGAGCGGTGCTAACGTCGCTAACTTAAACACAGGTCCAAGTCTGTCGACCAAGTCGCACATTAACAGTCAAGGCACAGCTTTGACAGCTTTGACAGGTTGACCATTGACGAGGCCACGCATCAGAAATTCTTGCTCAGATTTGTCGACGTCCATGTGCATCGGCACCGGTTCTGCTGCTGTAGCTCTTTATCCCTGCCTTCAGCACCTGCCCTGCCGGGGTCTGCGCCCCGCGGTGTGTTCTTTGTACCAAAGCTGCCGTGTGTTTTTTTCAGTGAGTGAACAGGTGCTGAGAGCAGCGACTGCTGCTCACTGTGTGGTTCTCAGAGCACCTGTGAGCCCCCTGCTGACTGAACCCAGGACACGACATCCGCAGAACCTGTCCACGCCTCCAGGACGGGCTGAGGAGGGCGAGAGCCACAGGGGGGCGCTAAAGTCACCAGAGCTGTTATCAAAAGTCCCTCCCGTGATTCCGACCTACTGCATGTGGACAGGTCCAGTTTGACCGTCCGTTTCTGTGATGTCCTCGTCAAAAACACGTCATAGTCGCGACCTGTGCTGTTTAATTTATTTACGTTCCTGAACTCACGCCTGAGTTTCTACATTTCATTTGTCCTGACAGGAAATTCAGGTTCAGGTTATAGTGTTGAAATTTAGCATCAAGAAAATGTTCAAGCTAGCATGGCCCTACTTCAGGCCCCATACCAGATGTTTGTCTAAATACAAGGTAGAGTTATGATGTATGTGTGTTTGACTGACCTGCCTGAACTCCAGATCTAGACCGGCAGTAACTCCGGCTCTAACTTAGAGTGGACTCTGAGAGTTGGCCTTTGTGGATCAACACGTGGTTCCTTTCACTGCATGTCAGTCATGTTAAGAACAGAGGAACACCTGGAACTCATTTAGTCTTTGTGTTCACTGTGACAGTGGCAAATCTGACAGTTTTGTTTGGCTTGGATGAAAGTCGGCACCCCCTACTGGGCTGTCCAGGTCCAGGTCCAGTATTTCTGTAAAAAGGTAATAATAAAAAGAAAACAGGTGCACACACCCCCACACACACACACACACCCAGGGCTGATGACAGAGATGCTCTACAGGGGGTAACTTCACGCTGAATTAGATTTACTCTGAGGCTGAACTGCGTCTCTTCTCCTCCTGTTTCTCCAGTTCTAACAGTCTCTGGTTTCATATCTGGAGAAAAACTCAAACATTCACACAACTTCATCCTCACCGTCCAGCTCATCAGGCTGACAACAACATGACAATAAAACCTCATCAATACTTACAAGACAATCGAACAGAGATATTATTTCTTTTCAAATCGATGCCTTCGACAGATCAGTGCTGTGGCGGTGGACGTTTGTTGAGTTGTTTAATTCATGAAAATGTTTTTTTTTCTTTACCTGTGGATTCATGAAAATGTTTTTTTTTCTTTACTTGTTTTTTTTTATATTTCCAATAGTCAAAGTTGTTGTATAAATAAAAACTGCTGTGTTTAAGAGCAGTCAAGGTAACCGCCGAAAATCGAGGCTATTTAAATATTCACAGTCTGGACCGGATGGATAATAAGTAGAACAAATACAGCTGAAGAGCAGCCCCAAGGTGAAGACTAAATGTTTACTGCCCACCTAATGCAGCCCACCCTCCACTGTCACGCCTCTAATTGCGAAATTCAAGCGGTGCTCTCTGCTCTTCTCCTGGCCGAGTTTAGGCCGAAGAAAACGGTGCTCGGAGAGGGTGGACATGAGGAGGAGGAGGAGGAGGAGGAAGAGGAGGAAGAGGAGGAGGTGGCCTTCCTGGTGCGCGCCCCCGTTTTCCTGTGTCTGCGCACAGGAATATAGAGGAGGTGAGACAGCCTCTGCCAAGAGCTGAGTCAATTGTTACAGCACGTCGGGAATTTTCACCCTTCAAAATAAAGTCCTTCACGCACCAGTAAAAGAATTTCAACTTTACACCCAGGAAGTTAACGGAACAGTTTGAGCCAAAACAGAGCGATATTACGTCCAGGTGTGAGACGTTCGAGTGTTTCATCTGTTTATTCAGCCCCGAGTACGGAGGGACTTTTACTTTGAAAAGTGTTTGCTGGGAACAGAATGGTTTTATTGTGGTGGTCTTGACTCTGTGAAGGTTGTTACATTTAGAGTGAGTGCGGGAGAAAACGAGCAAATGTGCGCGTCGGTGAGGAAGGAAGGAAGGAAGGAGGGCAGAGAGTGCGCAAATAAGAGCAGCAGCAGCAGCAGCAGCAGCAGCAGAGATCTGTGCTGATCCACATCCAGATCCTGATCTCCTGTGTGTCTTCAGCTGCCAACTCTCTCTCTCTCTCTCTCCCTCTCTCTCCCCCTCTCTCTCCCCTCTGATTGAGATTTCACTGCCGGCTTGAAGTGCCAAACACCACCACACACTTTCTCTGGACCTCGGTTATTCTTAGCTCCACTGCTGCGAGAGACGCTGTCCTTCCTCCTCCTCCTCCTCCTCCTCCTTCTTCTTATTCACCTCCTCCTCTTATTTCTCCCTGTTTCTTCAATATTTAATGGAAAATGGCGATCTGCGCGCAGTCCTACGGCTTTTTCTGCCTCCTCACCGTCCAAACTGTGCTCATCATCTGCGTCTCCACGCCGACGGACGGGACCCACCTCTTCCCCCAGCACTACACGTAAGTACCGGTCTGGAACTGTCTGTTTCAAGGGGCGTCACGGAGGGAGATGCGCAGCGGAGAAGTGGGACAGGTGGCCCGGGGAGGAAGGCGCTCAGGCGGCGGCGTTTACCTTGAGAGCAGCCGCCGTGGCTGGGGTTCGACCACGGACGCAGCTTCCTGTGTCTGTGACGCCGCCGCCGCCGAATGTCGCGCTCCGTCCGTGTTGTTGTTGTTGACGTGTTTTTTATTTGAACCCCAGTTTGTCATATATTTACCAACAAGGTTACGGGCTCCAGGTGCCGCAGGCGGTCAGCCCGACAGAGCCGCGGTTCATCACAGCCTCCATGTGGGTAAAAATACGAGCCGTGGATGTGATGTTTTCACGTCACTACGGGGGAGAATTACGCATGATGGATGTAGACTATAACGAGGCCAGTGGAAATAGTCGTCATGTTTGTACACGAGGTGTGGAAACACGTAAACACATCCACACGTCAGCGGGTTTTAACCGTTGAATAAAAAACTAGTTGATGCTTCAGTCTGTTTGATTTGATAAGATGACATAAAACTACCGTTATTTTGATTAAAAAAATCAGACTCGTTGGTGCTTTTATTACGAGCAAAACATTTATGTAAAATGTAAATTATATAAATGATAAATATAAAATAAAATCTCTACTCTGTCCACTGAGTAGAGACAAACCGCAGACACAAACTTATCTCAGCCTCCACCACGTGAGGAGAACATGGTTGGATTTCTTTTTTATTTGGCACCTGCTAAAAATGTTTTGTAATTATAATCTAATTTAGGCACAGTTTGTTTCATTGTGATCCGACGAAAACGATTTAACCTTGAACCACACACACACACACACACACACACACACACAGAAAGCCGTCTGCTGCAACAATTTGCCACCTGTGCGTCCAGCCTCCACCAACACGTTCCATTTACGTTTGTGACAATACCAGCAGAAAAATAAAGTTTATTTCTTTTCATAAATGGATCAATAACAGTTTGAGGCTGTAGAGTTGGAGTCAAAGGACATCGTTCTCCTCTCACGTGTGTGTGAATGTGTGTGTGTTGAAGTGTTGAATATCGAATTCTTCTGTTTTTCAAATCTAACCTGAACATCAGAATCACGATGGTGACAGACTTCACCTGATTCGTCCACAGGACAATCTCCCAGAAGTCCATTGGGCTTTGTTGTTCTGAATGGCCAAGGTGACTTTCAAATGAAAACCATTTATCCTAGATATTTCTGCTGATTGATGGGAAATCAAATCCAACCATATCACCAGATTAAATTCATGTATGTTATGAATGGTTACTTGTGTACAGTAAATATAAAAAATATAAAATATAATAATGACCTGTTATTCCGTGACCTTTTCCTCCAAACACGTTCCCCGTGTGTGTGTGTATCGAGGCACTTCTTCTCTTCTTCTACTACTTCTTCTACACTTTGTTTTCGTTAGATCAGATTAGAATAAATCAGGTCTCATTATGTTGCCTGGATTATATCCGTCTCCCCCTCGGGACTCAGAAAGTGGGTCTGGTGTCACCCACATTTCTGTGCTATTTGCTAAAATTTGACTGCCTGCTAATTGAGGTGGACGGACTGCTGCAGCTGTCTGTCAGACGTCAAGGGCCAGCACACACACACATGCACACACACACATGCACACACACACACACACACACTGGCAGAGTGAAGGAAACTTAAATAGGGCAGATTACACTGTAGTCCTTTATTTATATATTTTTTTCCAGCAGAACCATAAATGTCAAACTTCTCCACACCTCACTGTCTGGTGATGAACGCTGCTGCTAACGGTTATTTTTTACCGTCGGTTCTCAACACAACTATTGTTTATTTCACGTGTAGGAAATAAATATAAATGTTGAGGCAAACGGCAGATGATTGATCAAAAACGGCATTATGAAATGTGGTTTTTGCTGCAGAGAGAGAGAGAGAGAGAGAGAGGGAAGAAGTAACTTTCACATCACAAGGTCTGAAAACATCACGGGCCTCACACTGAATCTCATTCATCACACGCCACTATCTCCTGACATCTCTGTGGCTCTCACTGAAACTCCACCTGATACAGTGTGCAGTATTTGACTAAAGAATATATTTTAGTCTCCGATTGTCTGTCTATACCGAAAAAATATTTTTAGGTTAAGTCACGACGGAGGTCTGTTACACTGTATTGCATTTAAATTTTCATGGTCATCTCCCATCGCCTGTCGGGCGTAGGTCACGTGTGCCATGGTTGTGCGTTTGACATCATTTCCTGTGATGTCACTTTGTGTAATGTTGATTCCACTTGATGGAACACGGGCTTTTAATGTTACAATATTAAAAGACAAACAAACAGGAGGAGGGAGATACTGTAGGTGAGATGACTAATGTTTGTTCACCTGGGAGTCAGGCTTTAATGCGTGATTAATTGGTTGATGGATTGTGAACTAATTAATGACTATATGATTGACATGTCTTCTGTTTTAGTAAAGTCTCAAATTTTTTTTTTTTTTAATTTTTCAGACCAAATTTATAGATTAATAATGGGAATAAAATAATGTTAAACTACTAATGTTTAAATTAATTATAATCATCATCAGTATTTACTAAATGTAATCTAAATAAAGAGTTTTCCCTAGTACAAAGTTATAGGGTTTTTAATCCATTATACTGCATCTGTGCTCGGCACAAAACAATAGAAATTAGTTCTGGAAATTTGGACATTTGATGCAATTAGCAATCACGAACAAAATTAATGAAAGTTAAAATTAAAGTTGAGTTTCCTTCATTAGCTTTGTTCACTGTAATGCTACGTATACGTTTGCATACATCGACAGAGTAACGGCCGAAAATTAATACGGCCAACTCCTTGAATTGATGATGATTGGCTAAGGCGGAGTAAGCTTTCATGGTAAGCCAATCAGAGGCGGTCACACAGCCGTCTCACACGCCCAAACTAGCGGCCGCAATGGCGACTCTGGAGTGAAAGTTGACGTTTTCAAAGTGGAAATACAGCCACACTACTTCAGTCTCCGAGAGGTAAAAGGCAAGACTGTAAATACGAAGCGTACATTATGTCCCGGAGCGAAGTGTTTGTCCACGTCCGTTGTAATAAACCCTTATTTAATTAAACATGTCTCAACGACATACTTGTCGAACTTGTGTCCCAGACGCCATTTTGACGACGTTAAAGATGATAGCCGTCCAGGTGTGGCTAACGCTAGCGCCGCTAACAAAGAAGGACGCGGAGCGGAGCCGTACAAACGGCCGCGCCGCTAACAAAGAAGGACGCGGAGCCGTACAAACGGCTAAAGTTGTGTTTTTCTTCCCCAGTCTTTATGAATATCCATGAAGTACAGTATGTTTACCGTTGTGCTCTGTTGATGTGCAATACACATTTTAAAAGTCTTTTCTTCCCCAGTCTTTATGAATATCCTTGAAGTACAGTATGTTTACCGTTGAGGTGCAATACACATTTTAAAAGTATGTAGTAGTTATGGCTTTTGAAACTCGCTTAGAAACAAGTCCAATTGTTTGACATATTTAAATAAAAAATAGTTACTATCACTAGTTACTAGTTTTGGGAGAAGTAACTCATAGCTATAAATAATTACTTTTTAAAAGTAACATGCCCAACACTAGTACTACCACCACAACTACTAGTACATTTAAGGTTTAAATGCACCTGTACAGGACCAACAAAGATCACATTTCCCTACTAATGCTGTGAGGTCACACTCATATTAAATAATTCAAATGTAATGGATCTAACCTAAATCAATACGGTAGAGATAGAGACGTGTGTAAATAGTAGAAGTGTGTGTTAGGAGCTGAGGCTCTTCAAGGCCGACTGTGTACAGTACTCTGTGTGTGTGTGTGTGTGTGTGAGTTGTAATGTTGTAATGAGGTTGCGTAAGAATCCCGCCTGACTCAGGGACGGCGGTAGTGTCCCTCACAGTTAGCATCACCGTGTTTCTGCTCAGCTCTGTCTCTCTCTCTCTGCGAGCTTGTTTTTTCATTCCCTATCGAGGCGACCTTTTCGCAGTCAGCGGCCTCTCCTCGGTGCTCCGGCTCTGCACACTCCTATATGGGGGGCTGCTTTACTTCTTCATAATCCCGCCCTCTTAAACCAAGCTAGCATGCACACACTGCACCGTTTATTCTTTTGTAACCCCCCCATGTCCTTCCCCCCTCCCCCGGCTCACTGAGGTCGGCTCTGGGTTTTTGACGCTGTCACTGTCTGGCAGATTTGTGCAGTTTAATAAATCTGTTGTCCTGCTTGTCGTCTGAGCAAATCTGACATTTAAAGATGACATTTGTCTCCATCGTCATATTTAAAGACAAACGACTGTGCTGCACTGTTGATGGTGATTAGATATCTGTAGACTGCTGACGGGAAAAGGTTGGCAAAGAATCATTGCCTGGCACAAAAACACATTATCAAAAATGTATTCATCTGATTGAGATGAAATGAGACTTTGTTGTTGCCCATGCATGTGGGCTGTTCAGTGTTCAGGTTGGCTTCACACTGCTGCCCTGAAATGATCTAGTGATAAGTCCTGATCCATTAAGTTATTTGTTGCTTCCTGGGAGATATACAGCGATGAGCTGCAGCCCGTTTGATCTCTTAATTCCAATCTTGGCTCTTTCTCCCGGAGATCAGCTCCTGCTACGGGTGCACTTCTGTCAGACTGGAGCAGTTTTACTGCTGATCCCAAGTGATGTTACGAAGACGAACCCCCGGCCGGCTCTGCCAGAGCTGGACACACACACACACATATAGGTTGTGAATGGGAGATGGTGGGATACACACTTTTAAACACACTCTCTGAAATGTTCCACATACAAAATGAATGATTTTCCATTTGTGAAATCCAGCAGAGCAGACGACTAAAAAAAGTTCTTATTTCACTTATTTCAGGATGATGCACTGGGCTGGACGCATTGAGAAGGAGCTGGAGAAGGTTCTGCAACACGTCACTGGGATTCAGCAGATGAGATCGGTGAGTTCTAGTGTCACTCCTGCACCAGATGCTTTGCATTAAGACATTTTGGGTTAGTGATTGTTGTACAACACGAACACACCAGTCTAAAGGATGGCTTTGTTTTGTATGTCCATGCATGAAGTGTACCATGTGTACCAGCTGTTCAGTCCACCATGTGTGCGTGTTCACTCTAGTTTGAGGTTGGAGTTTTGGACTCTGGCTGTTTACATCAGTGTGATTCATTCTAGTTCCTGCTCTCCCTGTAGTAAAGCTTTAAAGCTGCCACAGAAGCAGCAGCGTTTAGTGGCTCGGTTGTAGTTCGGTCGTAACATTGATGGATCCCAGAGAGGAGGAAGTGAAATGACAGAGATCAGGCTGTTGTAAAGGTTAATGACTATTAGACGATCTCAAACAGACACTCATGTTGAAAAATGGACTTTGCTGATATTTAACACTCATCAGAGTCAACAAAAAGTTCTGTTTCAGTCGCTGACATAAGTGCAGCTGAAATTAGAAAATGTTATTATTCCCATTGTCTCACAGTCAAAAACTACTATTCTCTCTACTAACAGCTCAATTATCTCAAGGTTAATGAGACCCAAAGATGTGACGTTAGCATGATGTTAATGTCAGTTTTTGTGTCTCTTTCTGTGGGTTCACTTTCTGAGGGTTTCCTCTCTTGGGCCAAAGCCAAACAAGCCGCTCTCTCTCTGTAAATATAACATCTATCCCAGTGATGTCTTGTGTTGGGGCCCATATGGCTGCCATGTGTATGTGCTGGCCTGACTGTGTACCGAGCGGGCGTGAGAGAGCATTCATCATGGTCCCAAACAGAAGTCGTCACAGGGTGTGCTAAATGGCCCAGCATGCCTAGAAAAGCCATTTTCTAAATGGATGCCTCTCAGTATATGTGTGTCTGATAGAAATCTTCCCAGGGCTACACCGGCTGGTAACAAGATTGTCTCCCTCTGTGCTCTCTTCCTCTTCATGCACACTTTATTCTCAGAGACCAAAGAAAATAAGTGTTTGCAAGTCGTTTTTGAGATTTAGAGGAGTTAGGATTATTTTTGACAAGCAAGGCATCAGAAAAAAGCAAAGCACAAAGGATACAGATACTTTAGCATCTGTAGTTAACAATGTTAACAAGGTATCAGACGACAACCAGAGAAATATGGGAATTAGTGTGAATTTGATTCACACAGTGTCAAATATAGTTGTTTGATGCAGAAATCTAGTTAAAATAATGACTTGTTTCAACATGATTTAAAAAAAAACACTGAAATATGTTCAAATACATATATTTATGTATGTTTGTATTGATATATAGATAAATTAAAGAGTACAGAATTGTAGTCTCAAGTGGAAACATGTAGCGCTGTGGACGGCTTGGCAGTGAGAGCGGGTCTTTTTAATATCAAAAGAGGAGGAAGATGAGGAGGAGGAGGAGGAGAAGAGAGAGAATGAGGAATGACTTAAACATCTGTGTTGTCGGGTCAGGTCAGCTGTTTTTGTTGTTTGTCTTTCAGATGGACAGTGTGATAGAAAGAAACATGAGAGTTGAATGTGTTTGTGTGTTTTATTCTTGTGTTCTACTGTACAACGTGTCGTTGATGGAGAGCCTGGTTATTTTCCTTATCTTTGTTCCTCACCAGCATCTGTTCTACTACAGTACATGTAGTGAGTAATACTGTAGTAATACTGCACACGTGGGGAGAAACCTTCTTCACTAGTTCAGGTTGAAGGAATGAACTCTGAAAATAAAATAAATATGTACTGTGGTATTTCTAAAAATGTATTTAATTGTGCACCCAGAAAATGAAGTTTCACAAAGCTAGGATAGAGTTTTTGGGTTTTTTTTTTACAGTTTTTGGTTTTTAAGAGTTGAACAAAGCCATTTTTTTTCAAACATTCAAATGAGCATCCGTACGTCTGGTTGTCGTCACTGCCCGTTAAACTGTGGAGTGTTGTTGTTGTCAAACTACACTGAGGGCTGTTTGATTCCATTGATTACTAAAAACCTGAGAACACTGTGTCCAGATCAGAAAATCCAGAAACTGTAGAGAGGATAAAAACAAACAAAAAACAGAGCCTTTTTTTCTCCATCACTTTTGCTCTTTTCTCCCTGTGTTCTCTGCTTGACTCCACATCACTCAGACTTCTGACCACACGCTGGCTTCAGGTTTATCTCCGTTCACCACAGACCTCCTTGCCTGTAGTGCTTCCAGTGGGATCGTGTACACTCCAAAGCCTGAGCATGAGTGTGTGTGTGTTCAAAGTAACTTCTACATTTTGTTGCTCACATTAACTGAAACCTCTGGTTCAGTTTGAGCTGGCAGGTTTTGAAGGAGATGTCAGGTGCTCACCACCTCCAGAAGCCTCTTCTCCAAACCTCCCTTTTGCTTCTGGTAACAGAAAAGTTTCTCAGAGCAAAGACAGCCGTCCTCCACGAACGTATAGTACACTAGCGGTTTTACTCACTCCTGCTGACTGCAGAATTTTTCAATAATCTGTCTCAGAATTCCCAGCGCCGTACTAGACATCACCCCTGCGCTCACACAATCCTCACTTTCTGAAGCTGATGTCAGCTTTAAAACCTCTTTTTCTCCCGGCCTGTGCTGATCCATCAGGGGCCGATGATGATGTGAGCGCTGGTCAGAGCCATTCCTTACTTTCCTTGGCCCGCAGACCGTTTACTGGAGTTGAAGGCCCCCCTTCACCTGTCCCCCGAAACCCCCCCGCCGCCTCTGACAGCCGTTACCATTAAAGGAGAGAGACACAGAGGGAGTGAGGGAGAGAGGGAGAGAGAGAGAGCACTCAGACTTCCCATTCTTTCGTCACCTTCTGTCTTGGACCTTATACAACAGCAGCAACTTGTTATCTGCTGGTGTGTGAAACAACACAGACCATTTGTACAGATTGATGGTTCACTCTCTGGCTCTGCTCCTCTTTCTGCTGATGGTTTGTCTCCAGACTTTGTACAACACACATCGGTGGGTCTGCAATCACCGTTACTGTAACATGTTTTTTTTTGTTTTTTTTTAGTGGACTAGTCATTTGGTCCATAAAATGTGGCAAACGTTGAAAAAAAATGTTACTCCGACAAGAGTCCAAATTAGTTTGTTGTTACATCTCCAGCCATGGGAGGGTGCTGTGCCAGAATGTCATTATTTATTTGTTTTTATTTCTTGGCCTCATCACATGCTAGTTCTAGCGTATCACGTTAGCATGATGCAACTTTTTTCTCCTCTTCCATCAACACAGAAAAAAAAACAGCACAAAGAAATGACATCCAGTTGTCTGTTTTAAGACGGGTCTATTTTATATGAATGGGTGTGGTCGAGGCCAAGGTCACTGCTGATTACTGTGACGTTGGACAGTTATAAGAAATAAATTATGCAGCATTTCTACCTGCAGTAGTTAAGCATTCGTCTGTGTGTTCAAATCTTTGACCTTGGCTGAACCCCCCCCTCATACGTTCAAATCTTTGACCTTGGCTGAACCCCCCCTCAGACCTTTCATTAGCTGATCCCAGGAGTCAGGAGGGGTCAGTGTCACACGTCAGGGTCATGAGAGCTGAGCCACAGTCTATTAGTGACGCTATTTTTTCACCATCTTCCGAGCCCTGTCTGCCCTCGGCTTCTTTTTTTTCTCTGCCAACTCTGGCTTTTATGTTTATTTACTTTTCTTCAAAAACCCCCACAAAAATGCATAATGAAATAACATAAGACACAAGGGGCAAAAAAGAGCAATGGAAAAGTGAACGTCAGCTCAGTGGGCGGAGGTTGGCCACATTATTCTCTCCCTCCGACTCCACTGCACTGACAGGGAAACTGATAAACTTTTTATTTTTTTTCCCATTTATTTCTTTTCTGACATTTTTCAAGGAATCCTCAGCTACCTGGAAAAATGGTCTGGCTCTGTTTAGCAATGTTAATTGAAATAAAAAAAAAACCCCAACATATCTGCACAGCACAGGCCTGCAGGCTGATATCCCAAAGTCAGTGTTAGGAGGAATTACTTAAATAGATTTGCAATAAAAGTTAGTTAAAGAAGTAGGAACCTATTATACAAGGCTAATGCTGCAACTCCAGCTTCATATTATCTTCATTATTTATTATTTTCACCTAATTTCATTCCATTTAGTCCTTGTCTGTCTCACGTTTAGTCGCACAATATTTCAGGGATTATTTCAGGAAATGTAATCGAAGTTGCCAAAATTTTCAAAAAAATATTTTGAAAATATATTAAATACTATTTCACTCTTATGCCACAAACAAGGGCACATTTTTGAACAGTTCATTGAATTATCATTCACTGAATAATACTTTTTCACAAACCGCATAAAAAGGTGAAAAAACTATGTGTAAATTATGATGATTTTGATTGATAATGATTTTTATCCACAAAACATTTATTATCTACCTTAAAATTATTTTATATTGAGTAACTCTTAAATACTAAATGAATAAAAGTTTTGGTTAGTATTATTTAACGATTCTTTTTAGTAACTTTTAAGTTAAAATTTCTCAACGTGAAATAGAAAATTCATTAAAAAATATTTTTAGAAAAATATTGCACTAAAAAAAAAATATATATTTTTTCTTAACCTTCAGTTCCACTGTTCAGACATAGAGTGAATTCACTTAAAATAAAAAATTCATTAAAAAACAACATCTTATTGTGCAGGATGGACCTTCTTTTGTTTTTTATTTATTCTTATTAATCCCATGTGTGCATGTGTGTACACATTCTCGTTGATTACACTGTAACGGGTCAACAATCATCTGCATGTAACAAACGACCTTGTCCAGAGAGTCCAAACTCCCCCGACGTTAACTGTGCTGCATTCAGGGACTGCGCGTATTCCTGACCGTCCCCTGTTTTGTAAACAAACACGGCTTGATGAATTCATGGGAATAGCCAGAAGCCAGTGCGTTAACGGTACTCTTGGCTTTTAGGTTCGGGGAAAAGATAATGCCTCACACAATATAGCATTATGTGTCAGAATAGGATTAGAG